TATAATATAGCAATATCCCACCATAAAAGTTTAGTTCATTGTTTGTGCTTTTTGTAAGGTGCCTCCTAGAAAGAGAGTACATTAACACCTACAGAATTATTCAAAGGTAAAAACATAAAAAATAGATTAATAATGAGCTGTTGATTTTCAAGTCTCACGGAACTTTTTCATTTATAAAAGATTTGATTGCCCTTTGCTAAAATTAAATAGCAATATCCCACCATAAAAGTTTAGTTCATTGTTTGTGCTTTTTGTAAGGTGCCTCCTAGAAAGAGAGTACATTAACACCTACAGAATTATTCAAAGGTAAAAACATAAAAAATAGATTAATAATGAGCTGTTGATTTTCAAGTCTCACGGAACTTTTTCATTTATAAAAGATTTGATTGCCCTTTGCTAAAATTAATAATTATCCTTTTTAACCTACTGTATAATTTGGAACTATGATTCTGTGTTTGTGTGTACAAGTGGTGGTGCAAAGATGACTTTAAGTGCATAGAGCTTTTTATTTTAATAATTACATAATTTATTTTTAATGTATACTAGAAAATTATAAATTTCAAATAAAACTCATGATCTCATTAATAATCACATTTAGGATAAGGTGAAAGTTTTTATTTTAAATTAATTCATTTAAGAATTTAAGAACCACATATAATAGTAAAGATGATACATAGGCTAGGCAAAAATCTAAAAAGTGGCTTGAGAATTACAATTTTTTAAAAAATCACTGCCTTATGAATATGTAAGGTTAAGATGTTTTCTTCTCATTCTCTCTAGTAAAATTCTTAACATTTGAAAGCAGTATAAAAAGCCTAAGTGAATCTCAACTTCCTACAAGAAACTATTAACCATGGTATCTAATCTGTGTCAAACTAGACTGTGCATAACAACTATATATAGAGCATGTTTAAAAAGCAATCCCCAGATTCCACCCACAGAGGTTCTGACAAAAGCATATGTATATAGAAACGTACCTTTGGGAGTATACATGCCTTGTTGCATGGAACCGCCAGGTTCAAAAACAGGAGCCTTAAAATCAGCTACAGCTGACAAAACTGACTCAAAGCTGTAACTGCCTGGGATGATGCCACTTTTTGGGTTGGGATTTTCTGGAATATGATATATGTGTCAAGAAAAATTTTTAATATTGAAAGCCAGTTTCACAGCCTTCCCAAAGTATTCTAGTTTTTTAAAATTAATTTTATTGGTACATTTTAGATACACAATATAATGACATTCATCAGTGGAGATTTGTACCTTTACATTCTAATTTTCCAATTGATTTTACTACAGAACAATTAGTTGTAATATATAAAGTTGGCCACAAGAGGGCTATAAAAACAGTTCAAAAACTATTAATTGTGATTTTTAAAAATGCTTTATATCATTTTTAAACCAAAAAAATATGCAAAACAATTAGTATTTTTATGAGCAAAGATTATTTTTCTAAAAACACAAAATTTCCCCAAGGTAAAAACATACAAAGCACATTTAAACAAAGAAGGAAAGCACCAAAACACAAAGATCCTCTTTTTTGTTTCACATTAAGGTATCTAATTCATCTTAAATCCAAAACTATAAAATATTTTTGCTCTATAGCAGCAATGATACACAATCTATAATGGTTGATGAAATTATTAAATAATATCAAACTGATGTTGCTCATGAGACTTTTCAAACATGAGTCAAACATTCTAAAAGGAGTTATTTTATATAACACAAATTTCAGCCAATTCTTCCAAAAAGTCAGAATATACCTACAAACTGTACCCAAATATTTTCATCATAAAATAACATTATAATATTTTTTAAAACTTCATTAACTAAAAGGCATCTATTCTATGTTCAGTCACACAAAGAACCACAAGTCTCCAGTAGTCAATAATCTACAAACTTCAAAATTCTTTAATATTGAATTTCAACCAAAAATTCGCACAATATTTAAAACCCATAGTAACTATAAGTTATTACTTCTAATTGTTAACCAGAATTCTGGCCTGACTATACAAAGCAGACTTAGTTATTTTTTACCAAATACCCAGCTTCCTTTTACTAATGTTGTCCTAGAAAGCTAGATCCTGGGGTGTCCAAAACTGTCAGCCCTGAGCCTAATGAGAGCCTCCTGAGAGGTAGCAATAAAAGATAAAAAATATACATCACTAGATCTGAACACATACTTCAGTAAATAACTGGCATTCTTCTTTATCCACATTATATTTTAAGTTTAATGGGCGGGGGGGGGTGTCAGCATGTAATCCTACCTATTCAGGAGGCCAAGGCAGGAGAATCGCAAATTCAAGAATAGCCTAGATAACTTAAGAATCTACATCTCAAAATAAAAATAAAGAGGGCTAGAAATGTAGCTCAGTCATAAAGCACCCTTATACCACAAAAAAATTGCCAATACCAAAATCACTAGTCCCACAAAATTAATCTTAAAAGACTAATATAATCCATAAAAATCATTTGTTATTTTAGATCCTGCAATAGAAAATTTAACTTTAAAAAGGATATGAGGTCCAGCAATGAGCTATGTGTCCTGTCATTCATACACAGCTGGGCTACCATCTCAGCCCTGAGAATCTCATCATCAGACATTCCTAGAATTATTACAAACAGAATAAATCTGAATATATAAAAAGATAAGGAACTTACTAAACATTTTATTCAGTTGTTTTACCAAATATGAAATGCCTCAAATTGAAGACCAGCCTCCAATGGCCCAAATTTAACTGGTTTACCCTGACAAAGTTCCCTTAAGCAAAGACATTTTTAAAGTCTGTTCCATCTGGGATTGATGACACAAGCCTATATAATCCCAGCATTCTGGGAGGCTGAGGGAGGAGAATCCCAATGTAGCGAGACCACCCCAAAATGAAAAATGAAAAAGGACTGGGGATGTAGCTCAGTGCAAAGAGGTCCCAGATTCAATCCCCAGTACCATTTTAAAAAGAGACTATTCCAAAGATGGAGCAATTATACAACACATTAAGACCTTTAAACTGTTTAAATATATATCCACATCCTTTCCATTTTCCACAAGCCAGCTACCATAGGGAAAGGAAGAAAACAGAGAAGACTAAGTATTTAAGTATTATTAGTGCTTGTGGTTCTTACCTAAATGTAAACGAAGACTCAAAAGAATCACAAGGAACGTAAGAGCACCTTCTAACATGGATCTCTCATGCTCCGCATCAAGTACTGTGTTTTGATGTTGTGATGCCATTGTCAATAAATCTACCACCTTAAATCTATAAGAAGAAATATTTTAATGAAATATCTTAATATTTTAGATAGATTTTTAGAAGTTAAAACAAAATACATTTAAATTCCAGACACCTCTTAAAATTATGCTTACCTTTCAAAGACAGATGATATAAAATAATCTGGGTCAAGTCTAGAAGCACAAACCTTTAAAAGAATAAAAAAGTTGTACTTCTTGATATTCAGTTTTATTTCTTAATGTCTTTTTAAAAACTGTTCTGCATGTTATGATGTTCTGATGTATTCGGGGGCCTTATAGACCTGAGAAGAGAGTGCCCCTCCCCATAATAGCTAATTGCTAAATAGTAAAACCTTACTTGAGAACATGCCCCTTTATCTAACTCTCACACACTGACCCAATTTTCCCCTGCTCTAAATCAAGACCAAGTACCAGACTTCTCTTAGCCCCATCCAGCAAAGCTCACCAGAATTATTCAAGCTAGCCAAGTCTAAACTGCTCTACCCTTCCCTGCTCTACCCTGCCTTTCCTGGAAAACTCCACAAAGGGCACAGACCTAGGCCTTCTCACCCCTGCTTCTGCCTCCTGTCCAAAACCTAATGCTTCCTTTGTGGCCCTACTGATATGGCCTATGCCCTTCCATTGGGAAATTTAAGTCAAAAATTCTTGTTGCTACTGAATAGTTTCTCTGGTGTGAATAATCTGCAATAATACAGAAGATCCTAATAAGATTACTGACATTGAGAAATGGGAAGAAAGGAGCTAAAGGTGTAGGGAAGATGGGACAGGTAGGGGAAGGGTAAAAAGGGAAAAGAAAAAAATGTGAGGTAATGAAAAAGATGGAAATAAAGTGGTTGTAGATGGGAAGGGGAGGAGGGGGTGAAGGGAGGGCAGGGACAAGGGGAAAAAATGAGAACCAAGACTTGTCATGTAGAGGTACAAGATCCCAACAATGAATGTAAATGTACTGTATCCCTAAAATGTACCAATAAACTCAATTAAAGCTGAAAAAAAAAATTCTTGTTACAAGGTCAATACCCTCTGTATGTCATCACTCACTCATTTTTGTAAATTAAAACTCCATAAACACAAATGAGACACTTTAAAGCACCAATATCTGTACTGTCAAGTTGCTTACCTGTAATAGGTAAATGTCTGGATCAATCATAGAATTACAGAAATGAGACTGGACATAGGTCATGGCTTGTCCTTTGATTTGCAGACCATTTCTTACCCACATATTGCTGTGAATTTCAGCAAGACTTGCCTAATGAAAAGTCAATTTGAGAACAAATTAATCTTTATAAAATTGTATTAATCATTTTAAAATATTTTGGAACTTAATTATGATATAAGCCTGACATTCTGTCCAATGAAATTCAGTTCTATTGGTTTTGGTTCTGGTAGTACTGTTGTTATGGTTGAGTTTTGTTTTTTGCTTTGTTGGCAAAGGAATTATCTGGGTTTTTTTGTTTTTTGATTTTTTTTTTAGGCAGGGTCTTGCCCAGTCTGGACTTGAACTAACGGTCCTCCTATCTTAGCCTTCCAGTGTGCTAACATTATCAGCACGCATCACTTCACTTGTCTCTATTTTTAAACTTTTAAAATAAAAACAGCACTTTAGATAGCAACCTTTTTTAGAGTTTATACATGAGTTAATTTTCCATGGCGGCCTCTGGATACATTCATAATATAGCTTCACTGATACCTTTCATAAGTAATCAATGCTCATTTTTCTCTCAACTTCTTCCTCAAAAACAAAGGGGGTATATATACAATGCCTAAAGAAACACAATGGAGTAAGTATAAAACTACCTATACAAAGTCAATGAATACATGCAACATCTTTAATTCAATCTAACTCAAATTTCAATCTAAACATCTTCAAAATAACTGAGTTAAAAAAAGAATCACATATTAGAATTTTCTTACTATTTAATATTTAATAATTGATGTATTTATGCCCAGTATCAATTAAAATTAAGCAATCATACTTTATCTTTTACTTGTTCTTAACCCCTACGGTAGAAGCTCAAAACAAATCCAAAATGAGCAGAAAAATTAAATTGAAACACAAGCCTGTCTAAATGTATATAAGTTTGGCCCACAAATTAGTGTGAAATCCAAAGAAATCACAGTGCTTACACAAACTAATTCTTCTCTCTTCTGTCCCTTCTCAATTACACAAGAGAAAACTAAGAACCTACAAAGGAATTTACCCCAAACTACGTGGAAAATACAATATTGGTAGCTTGAAGGCTAGAACTTGTTGATCATGTGACTCTCAAAATTGTGTTAAATATGTTAAAACTTCCCTATGAGTAAATATAGTAAGGAATTTCTAGGGAAATTAAAACTAAATCTTATAGAACAAAAATATACCTAAATATAATCTGGCAAAATAATAAAAATTTAATTTTTTAAAAAAAGTTTTCAAACATTCTGGCTAGAGTGAAAATGATAAAAGCCTAAATACATACTTGAATTTGGAGTGGATGAATCATTAGTTTCATTAACATTTCCTGATCGGGTAAAACAGAATCCAAATCTAATTCTTGACATTTCACAGCCTAAGAATTATGATACAAATGTTAGTAATTCAGTATTTTTTCAAAAAAATTTTTTTAAAAACAAAACAATTCTTTATTTACAGTCTTACCTTACTCAAAAACATAGCATAATAACGGTGCAGTGGCAGATGAAAAGTGACTTGGTTGGGTGCTGGCTGGAACAAACAAAATCCACAAGTCAAAGGATGTTTGCAGAATTTCTAAGAAGGTTTTAAAATAGTAAAGCAATATTCTCACCTCAATATATTTCTACACTATTTTTTATCAAAATTTAAAATTTTAGAAAGTGTAGCTTTAAAAAAACACTATAAAATTATTCCCATTTTAAACCCCTCAGTGCAAGCTCCTTGAAGGCAACATTCTGAAGCCTCTAGCACAGATTAAACTTCATTAAGATCATTCCACAAACAAATGATGGAACAGAGTCCCGTCCACAACAATCCATCTGGAACTCTTCCAACATGTGCACACCAAACACCACAACAGTTAGCACAATAATAATTGCAGCTAACATCCACTGAACACTCTCTGATGGTCAATCACCCTGCTAAACACAATGTCTCACTTCAACCTCACAAGAACTTTATGGAGTAGGAAATACTAAAATCCCATTCTACAAATAGGGAAAATCTTAGAAAATGTAAATAACTTCCTAAAGTTCAAAGGTGGTGATCTGAGAAGCTGGTGTGGACCCCACTGTTATATTCAGATTGCTAAGAGGATTTTGATAGCTCTAACCTGAAACACAGAAGGCATCTTTAGGTTTCCTCACCAGCTGCATAAGATGCTCCTGATCTGCCTACCTAACAAAACTTTGTAAATAATATGTCAAAGACCTTTCACAGCCTCATGAATGCTATAAAAAAATTTTTTTAATCTGTGAATCCTATGGATCATGATACCACCATAGGGCAAAAGTATATAACACTTATCCTTCTTAAACAAATAAAAAATTTAGTAAATTTAATATTTTAATAAATTTTTAGTAAATATTTTTCCTGTTAAAACTGTTATCAGATGGGCTGGGGATTTAGCTCAGTGGTGCTGCTGCCTGCCTTGCAAGCACAAGGTCCTGAGTTCAAACCCCGGTACCAAAAAAAAAAGATTTGGTTAAGGCAAAAATCCAAGATCTAAATGGTCAAAATCCAGACTGTCAAAGTTGAAGGCTAAAAACACAAAAATGTTAAGGGGGTGAGCATGAAAGATAAACTTTCAATTGTGGTAAAATAAACACAAAATATAAAATATACCTTCTAGTATATGTATATACTGAAACTATACTAAGCTAAATCCCTGGCCCAACCAAATCATTTTGATTCATATCCGTGTCTAATTATAGGTCTTTAAACTTAAACTCTATTTAAATAGCAATCAGTTAATCACCCAAGAAAACACAGTTTCGGAAGGGCTCCACCCTACTTTCAGCCACTCTGTACACTTAGACAAGAGCTGGAGCTTTACCTTTTCTTAACCTCATTCTCATGGGTATTTGAAACTAGAAATTAGTGTTGAAATGATAGTATCACTAAAACAATAGGAGTAACACAGGGCAAAATTATACAGAGGATTATATAGCAAATGGCATGAAATTAATTTATAATATGGAGCTAAAGATAGTTAGAATCATGTATGATACACAGAGCAGCTGAATTCAAAGAAACAGTGTATTTTTCTAGGCTATAAGTAGACATGATTAATATACTGTGGAATTATCTAAATATCAAAGGGGCCAGGGATTTGGCTCAGTGGTTCCACCTCCTGCCTTGCAAGCACAAGGTCCCCAGTACCAAAAACAAAAACGAAAACAAAACAAAACAAATAAAAAAGGAATAGTAATGCAAAATCTGGGGATTTAAATTTTGGTGCCACAGCCTGCCTGGCAGGTGCAAGGATGTGAGTTCGATCCCCTGTACTCAAAATAAATAAATAAATAAAAATAAATGTCAAAGTGCTAGTCTACCTTTTTATCCTTTTTAACCACTTACCAGTCCAATTATTTAAATATAAAATGACCAAAAAATATTGCAATTTTCATTAATTTTTATAAGACAATGTAACAAGAAACAAAAAAAAATGACAATTTTATCAAATGTATTCAATACAAGAAATGACTGGTTGAAATGACACCTGCCCGAGTGATGCTCAGAATAGTCAGTATATAAACAAACTCGTTGCCCAAGTGCTGCTGGGGTTAACTGTTAAGCCTAATAATATTACATTAATTGAATTTTTCCCCATATGCACAAAAGTGTTCATTATTTTCTGTGTTAAATGAAATCTAGGCCAGGCAATAGTGGCACATGCCTGTAGTCCCAACACTGAGGAGATTGAGTCAGGAAGGCTGCCGTGAGTTTAAGGCCAGCCTGAACTGCATAGCAAGACCCCATGTCAAGAAAGGAGGGAGGGGGAGGGAGAGGGAGAGGGAGAGGAAAGAGGAGGGGGCGTGGGAGGGAG